GTGCAGGTAAGAGAAGTTATTCCACAGATATTATTTCATCACCTCAGCTACAGACTTGAGAACAGTACACAGGGAACATGAGAATGCCCCTGCTTCAAAAGCACTGGTAACCGTAATAGAATAGCTTACTGCATAGCAATGGTACAGTGGAAGCTTCTACCTGTACCATCAGTTAACTGACATCATAAAAAGCCATTTCTTAAAATCAGTGCTGAATGTAGCTAATTAGATTTTCAAGTCATTTTAGCTAACTAGATTTTTTCAAGTCACAGCTGCTTTTCCTGCAATAATCAAAATAACACTTGACTCAAACTTGATAATATACAATTAATATACACACACAGATGCTTCCAGACCATTACCATATACTCTCACCACTTCCCCACTACATAAAGTGTGAAAAGGAGGTGAGACAGCACTGCAAGTGTTGTCATTCGTTAATTTATGATTAACTAGGGTGAGAGAGCGCCTGGATCCACACAGACAGCTGGCATGCCCGAGAACCATATAGAGAGCAGGGGCTTCCTGCAGAGAAAGCCAGTTCCACCTGTCTGAGGACCCTAATGCTTTCTGACAGGAGGCCAGGCCAAAAATTCTCACCAAAGGAAGGTGATGTTAACAGACGCTCGTCACTCCGCACTCTTTTTTATGGGGGGGAAGGCCACACTGCTTGCTACAGCGATTAACTCTCCCACTCCAGAGGGAAACCAATCCAGCAGTTCTGCTTAAAAGCAAAGCGGATCCGACACAAAAGTCGATTTCTGGTGCTGTTCGCCTTGCAACAAAGAGGCAGCAAAGCAAGTAAGAAAAAGCCCAAACATAAAAAACCACATCGACTCTTCCAGCCGCTTATCGAATGTGAGGTGAGGCACAGCCCGCTATCAAAGCGAGACGTTTTGACTAAACCCACGAAATTACTGCAGGGCAGGGCAGGGCAGACGTCTGCTTCTGCCCCAAGCAGACACCCCCACCGCTTTTCCTCCTTACTTCCAGAAGGCACGAAAAAAAGCAGCCGGGGCGGGGATGTGAAAAAATGGCAAACTCATTCATCGCTCGGGCTGCGCCAGTCCGCGGAGAAGGCGCCGGCGGGGCGCTCCGGGGACGGCACCGGGGACCGGCCGCCGCCGGCGGGAGGGCTCCTCCCCCCACCGGCCGGTCGCGGCGCCCCTTGCAGCCCCCGGGGTCCGGGTCCTGCCAGCCTTCGCCGCCGAAGCGGGACCCCGCCGGCTTCGCCGCTTACTCAGCAGCACGGCCTACGGAGCTGAAGGCTTTCGGCGAGGCTGCAGGTGAAGCGCGAACCGCCGCTGACTGGAAACGCGGTTCCAGTCACAAATCTATCCTCGGGCTGGCGTAGACCCACCGACCCTTCCTCCCCGCCGCCTCGCCCCGGGGCTCCGGCGACTTCCAAAGCCACGTTTCGCCAGCGACGCCAGCTCGCCCCGTGCCAGGGCCGCCCGGCTGGCCGCAGCGGCTTTCGGACAAGGCAGGGCTTCGCACCGGGACGACGGCCCCCGTTCCCCGCCACACAGCCCGGGGCGGGGGCTCTCCCCGCCACCACCACCGCCGCCGGGGCAGAGCGGCGGTGGGCAGCTCCCCGCGCCGCTCACCTGCTGCTGGATCTTCCCGTCCTCCGTGACCACCCAGTGGGTGGTGGCAGCGGCGGGCCGCGTCCCCGAGGCCAGCAGCGAGCACAGGCCCAGGGCCCAGCCGGAGAAGACCCACGCCCGCCCCAGCCCGCCCCGCCCGGACGCTGCTGCCGCCGCCATCTTCCCCAATCCCGGCCTGCCCGCACCACCCGGAAACGGAATAGCCGCCGCCGCCATTTTGGGAAGGGGAGAGCCGGGCGGGCGGCACCGCCGCTCCGGAGGGGCGGGAAGGGGGGGGCGGCCCCGAGTCGTTACCTCAGGCAGCGGCGGGAGCCCGAGGCTGACGTGAAACGCCGACAAGCAGCGCCCGGCGCCACGCTGAACCCTTTCGTTTTAAAATAAATTGGTTTCTGTCTAGCGCACATTGAAACGTCTGCCGCGACCGCTCAGGGAAACGTCCTTCTGCCCGAATCCAGCCCAACTGTACCCGCAGCTATCCACAGTTAATGCCAGTTCACTCAAGAGCCGGTTGAAGGTAGCTCCGGAAAACACATCACTGCTTTCTCCTTATAACGCTTTTCAGTTGCACGGGAAAAATCGAAACTTCTCCTTTCTGTGAACAGTAGTCGCCTGTGTCCCCAGGCCTGAGCAAGATCTAGAAGCTGCCAAATTCAAGCTTTGGTCTGTTCGACTTCTCTTAAGTTTGCAAGCAAGCTGCAAAACAGTTCTGCTTCTTGGGGACGCCAGACTTCCCAGAGCCTGTTACACAGTAAAATGTGCCTGTAACTCAAACCCATTAGGCAGAAATGTTTACAAATGGCATCATAGTGGTTAAACTGATGGAAGGGATTCAGTTTCTCTCAGGATAAGAGAACATACTCCCACAAGTATGACAGTTCCTTACTGCTGCCAGAGTTTTCACATCTGGCACGTTACAGATTTCACCAAAAAACCTAGGCTGATACTCCAAGCCACTCATGCTCTATCGTAAGACACTAACAAATTTATTGCACTGTCAACATCCAGGAGGTTGACTAAGACAATGACTCCTTTTCACGTGATAATTCCCAAATAAGATGTATGACATGCAGCATTCGCTATTTAAATTCCTATCCAAAATTTTGCATTTAGAAGTTGAATTACTTAAAAGTTGAAACGGCTAATGCAGTCTTGCTAAGATCTATTTATTAGCAGCAAATAGGTCAATACATCTATAGCAATCTAAGGAGTAAGTCAATAAAACAAAAAGGTACCACAGTACCCTTTTACTAAGCCAACACAAAATGTTGCAGAGTAACTGTGAAACAATGAGCCAAACAAAATTACAAAATGAATTTATTCCAAAAGCGTAAGGGAACATTTACAATTCAACAAGATGGTAAACAGGTGTCTCCACAAGAACTCACTGCATTAAAATTAAATATGAAACTGTGTGTGTGTGAAATCTAACTACTTCTGATGCCACAAGAACTTTGCACATCACCTCTGAAAAACAGGAGTCCCGTAAAGAAAACTCACTCAAAATTCAGTGAGAAAACAAGCTGCTAGTTCCTAGTTATTAGTCTAAATGCAAGCTATGTTTAGGCTTTGAGATTATTATTTTTAAATTCCCTCAAAACACAAATTACAGCCGCAAGTGCAAAATGTCTATTCCCCCCCCAATGGAAGCTTATTACCCATCTAGTGCCTATTTTCAGGGTGACATTTTGATCTCACGAATTTGTCCTTGAAAGCTCTTTGCCAAGTTTGTTGGTTTTAGTGACAAGTATGAGTTTAGCAGCTGTCATGCAATCAGAAATACAAGTCAGCTCACATGTCCTGGAATGTCCAAAGTTTGCTGCCTACTGCTCCAGAGTTGAGCAAAACCAGACTTCAAATTCAGCATCAACAACGTCTCTAACTTTGACACAGTTTCGGTATTCTGTCCTTCTGATTGTAGTGATAAATACCAAAAGAGTGTTAATGAAGACACCCGAGTCAGATTCACAAGCAAATACAAATGGAACTAGGTGGGCAAACATCATTTTCAGGCATTTGTCTGTGTCTGGGTATCGAATGGCTGGACAAAAAAAAGGAGGATAAGAAATAATCTTCATTCTTCTAAAGCCTAAGCTATTTTACATCAACACACCCTGGAACACATTAGAATTCTTTTAGTCTGTCCCAACTTCTTTTTTACTATCTGCTAATTCCTTTACAATGTTGAAAGACCTGAGAAGTAAAAATTTTGAATGGTGAGAATAATAATAAAAAAAAAAAGCATTGTGCTCTTACATTGTATTTTCTGGGTGTACACCAGTAAATAAGAATCCCAAGTTGCTATGGAAAAAAATAGCATGGAATTGTTAAATTTTCCACCTGAATTGAACTACATAGCTGGAATTTTTCCATGTTACCCAAAATACAATTTTATTTATATATTTTTAAATGCAACTGTATTGGTAAAAAAAAAAAAAAAAAAAATCGCAAAAAACCACAAAACAAAAAAACAAAACAAAAAAACCCAACCCTCAAGTGCCAACTAATCCAGAAATCTGCAAAACATAGAAAAGAGCCAGATACTGCTACGGTCTAGCTCCAGCCTATGAAGCTTAATCACTGCATCAGTCTTCACCCATTCCTGGAATAATTCTAGTCATTTATTGTTTTGTTTTTCCTGTTCATTTACTGAAATTTCACGGCATAACTATATGCACATATTCATATTAAACATTAAAAATCCATTTGCAAAACATCACTTTTGCATTACAATGCACGGAGAAGAGTAAGATGTGCAAACCAAAAAACACCACATTCTCCACATCTCTAAGTAAAAGGACTGCTTCATGCTACAATCAAAATGAATCTCCATCCCTGTTGCAAACTTTAAAAAACCAGCATGTATCTCATTCAATTTCATTAAAAAAAAGTAAATCAAAGCAAATTTAACAATGGTACTCTTCTCCACATATTGCAAAATATGGCTACAGATGAGGAAAGGATTACTTCAGCTGCTAAGCTTATCTGACATGAATCTCTGTTGTCATGCCTTTCTTGTCCATTACTTAATACATAAACTCAATTATATAGTTTCAGTTATGCAGTAGCTGATTTTTAGGTTAATATACAAACTGTCAAGATGTAGCTTTTGATATAACATCTATGCTCTTTTCCAATTTTGAATAAATCCTGAAGACACTTCAAAAATAAGAACCCAAAACTGCTGACTGTAAGCATCCAAAAATACAGTTGTAGTTTCACTATGGACAAGTTGTAGTCCGTTAGAAAAGTAGATCATACATACAAAGGTATAAAGAACATTTAAGTCAGTCTTAGTGGAAGGCAGTCCTTGAAGGAAACAATACTCCAAGCAAACTTGCTGAGTAGCACTTTCACTTTAGCCCTTCAGGGGCATGGAAGATGTAGCTGTCTACTCAGTAGATTCTTCCTCGGCTACGATTGCCACGTCCTCCCCAGCCTCTTCCTCGTCCACCCCGGAAACCACCTCTTTGCTCTGAAATAAAAGTCAAAACTTTTCATACAGCTTTTATGTTGTGTACAGATTAAAATTAAATAGCAATAACTGGAGGTACTGAAGGCTGACTTAAGTCTCTGAGGCTACCTAGCTCATCCTTCTGTCCAGTAACACCATGTTGATCTTGAGGTGTTTTTCTGACTTGCTCCTAGTGATTTTATAAAACGATGGAAAACCACAACTTTGTCAGTCTATCTGTCCTTTTCTATCCTTAACGTTATCACCAGCATACTTAAGTTTTTTTGCTGGGCTGGTATCTTAACTATATCCAGTTAAAAATCTCAGACATAAGACTGATACCACACAAACTATTTGTACACCGTAGAAATTTTTTCCTTTCCCTTTGTTAAGAACAAATCTGATCACAGCAAAAAAACCCCACAAAACATTTTGTTAAAGTTTCTTTGGATTTGTTTGTAAATACATCAAACTCTCACTCCCCTTCCATGCCTTCTCTTCATGTATAGTCTTACAATACAGGTCATATTAATCTACAAAGAGAACTGTGTGCTTATTTTAAAAAGTACAGAAATCAAAAGCTGATCAGAGGCCTAAGCATCTCACTAACAAGAAAGAGTAGCAAGCAACAAAAAATTTTTGGTTGAATACTGCCCAATTTTTAGAACCACAGGACTACAAGCTTATGTTGAAAGACACAGGTGTATCACCTGAAGTCTGTAGTAAGAAATTTGCAGAAGATTTTACCTTTTCTCTTTGTTTGGTATATAAAACAGAGCTTTGTATCAGTTTTTCAACCTACGGGCACAGGTAATAATTTGTCATAGCAGGCTGTTTACTTGACAGAGATAAGACCAATGGGCCTACAGGGAACAGAACAGGTCGCTGCCATTGTTGGGCCTGTTCATCCAGTCTGCAACTGTTCTCGCGCTTTGCCCAGAATTACGACTTGCACAGAGAGAGAATCACTCTGACTGGGAACATGAGGACATAACTGTGTGTATGCACAGTGAACCTGGCAATTCCCAGATGTTCTGGATCAGGTCTGCAACATCAGCAGCGGCTGTAATAGGAATTCAGCACAGGTCCAGTTGTTTGACAGGTGGCCCAGCTCTGCCATTTGCAGCAACTGGTCTGTCCAATGGGACATTTGGGGTGCGAGTGCTGTGTGTCATAACAGAGAATACAATAGTTCAATTACTAACTCCGTGTATTAAAACACTACTAAAACTAACTTGCAAATGACGTATAGTTTATAGGCTGGTAACAAACACTGTAACAGACCAACAGCTAGACAGAGACCATTACACAGAAAAATTGGTGACAGTACAGTTTGATCTTCCAAGAACACGACAGTAAGTTGGCTTAATGTCTTGGTTTCAGCTGGAATAGAGTTAACTGTCTTCCTAGTAGCTGGTACAGTGCTATGTTTTGAGTTCAGTATGAGAAGAATGTTGATAACACATTGATGTTTTCAGATGTTGCTAAGTAATGTTTAGCCTAAAGTCAAGGATTTTTCAGCTTCTCATGCCCAGCCAACAAGAAGGCTGGAGGGGCACAAGAAGTTGGGAGGGGACACAGCCAGGGCAGCTGACGCAAACTGGCCAGAGGGGTATTCCAGACCATGTGACATCGTGTCCACTATATAAACTGGGGGGAGTGGGGGTGGGGGGATCGCCGCTTGGGAACTAACTGGGCATCAGTCAGCAGGTGGTGAGTAATTGCATTGTGCATCACTTGTATATTCCAATCCTTTTATTATTACTATTGTCATTTTATTAGTGTTACCATTATCATTATTAGTTTCTTCTTTCCTGTTCTATTAAACTGTTCTTATCTCAAACCACGAGTTTTACTTCCCCCTGCCCCCAATTCCCTCCCCCATCCCACTGGGTGAGGGAGAAGTGAGTGAGGTGGCTGCGTGGTGCTTAGTTGCTGGCTGGGGTTAAACCATGACACTTCATTTGTTTGCTCCCCCTGCCCCAAGGCACAACTGTCACTAGACGAAGTTTTTCCAAGCTGCCTAACTTACCGTAAGAAAAACTACCCAGGTTACTGCTGTACTTTCCACTGGGAGGATTATATATTTGCCTGGCATCCCTTTTTGGTCCTGCCGAAGGTTTCTTTGGGGGTGAACTTGAGGTTGTATCTTCACTTGCTCTTTTTTGACTGACAGAAGAAAACAAAAACAGACCATTATACTCCTGTGGTGACAAGTACAGGAATAGCAGTTCAGCCTCAAAGATTAACCACTGGAAGCTAGCAGCAGCTAATGAAGATGCCCTGAATAATACTTCAAAAGAGGAAGTAAGCTAGTCTCCAGTTGATTTGGTCTATTGCATCCCTAAAGCAAGACTATCACTCCACAGCCTTAATTCCTTCCAGGTGGGTGTTATTTTTGATTGCGCACCTTTTAGCTCATGTGCTGTGTATATCATATACATGCAGCTTCGGATCTTTATTTTGTAAACAGCAAAAATTACCACCACCGTTTTCTTTTTTTATGAACAACTCTTACCTTGCATCTGCCTTCTGTACTGGTTTCCAGGACAGTGTAACTGTACTTTTGTAAGAAGGAGGAATGTGGAAGAGATCCTATGGAGGCAAAATCAGACAGTTTATTCTACAGTTAAATTCATGTAGACTGCACTTCAAAATTTTAGCTGCCTACTGAGACTCCAGAATAACAATTCCTTTCTAACAATTTTAAATCCTTTTTGAAGTCCCACAGCAGAGGGAGAAGGCAGCACTACCTAACTGCCTTATCCGGCTGCCTTAGCCCATACACTTTACTAGGAAATTCAAATGAGATTTATATTAACAGAATAGCCTCTTATACTGACGTAATATGCTTTCTCTCTCTCCCTGCGCACATCAAGCATCTTATAATGAACTACAACAGCTCCTGCAGGGAAACATCTGATATCTGTATCATGGTATAAAAGGTAGGTTTCTCAATACTGTGGGCAAAGCTTTTGGTTTATCGTGGTTATTGAGAGTGAAAGATGGTAAGTGAAAGAAGAGAGGAAAAGGTGGTTAGAAGAAATCAGAATAGTTTCAAGGGCTCTGGATGGAAGTCTCTTTCTGCAGCCCATCTCTCCTAGACTCTTTGGAGAAAAAAGATTCTGTATAGCAGCCCGCTTTGCCTCCTTCCTCCTTTACATCTCCTTGCACCTCTTCAAACTATTCTTTACCCCTCCCTGCCACTGTAGGAAAGGGAAATGACAGGGAAAAAGGCTCAGCCAGAATCCAGAGACCCCTAAAGCAAGGTATCCTGCTCCTGCAGGCAACTAGTGCTGCAAAAAATGGGCCTCAACACCCTATCCCAACAGCAGCAAAGGCTAAGCAGCGTGCATAAACAGCAGATCCATGTCTCTTCAGAAACAGTAAAGTGGCAGCAACCCTGAGCTGGCTAACACTAACTTAATAACACAATACAACTTAGTTCAAATATATTCCTTTTTTCTGCATAGCTTACTCTACTGTATGAATTTACTCTTTTGTAACATGAGGACTTACCTTGATTAAAACATTGATGTTATTGGTTATTTTCAAGGCAACCACCTTAATCTTGTTCTGCAAAAAAAAAAAAAAAAAAACAAACACCACTGAACACCTATTCTAGTAGCTTTAAATTATGCCAACTGCATTTGATGAAGTCGTAACATTAAACTGACTGCTCTTCCTAGTGAATTGCTATAGCAATAGTAATAGTGAAAGGTGTATACACTTCTGAGTTTTCATTACAACTATTTTTAGGCTTCTTGCAGTTTTACACTAACTAGTTGCTTTTAATGTTCCAGTGTACTTCCCACAAAATTTTTCCCCCAATCTATGAAAATCTCCCCTTCAAAACAAAATGCAGAGCACAGACAGTTAAGCCAAATACATGTGGATGCAGACAGCAGCTAACAGTAGAAACTAAAAGATCATCTTAGCTTGCAAAATACAGCATCAGGTAAGATGCAGCTGCAATAGATTTTAGCAGTATTATTCCCTTAATCTATTTGCATGCTTACAGCAGACTGCAGCCCATTAGTGTGTGCCAGTGGTTATTTCGGTAGGCTCGATTAGAAAAATCGGAATTCCTGAATAATACTTACCTCCTCTGTTTTCAAGGCTTCTCCTGTTTTTCCTTGAAGTGCTAGACGAAGCTGTCGAATATACACCTGCAACCCTCGAGCAAAATACTGTAGCCTACAAAATTCAAAAGCGATCTGTTAATTTTTAAATATTCCCATAAAATAAAAGCATAAGCACAGGGAAGCTGTAATCTCATTTTTTCCCCATTTAGGAAAAATGCTCAAAATAAGTCCTCTACAAATCTGATTTGTGCTTCTTTAGCACCCAGACAATAATAATTCACACCTTCTAACAGAACTCTAACACTTGCCTCTAAACGATTACCTGATTTTAAAGTCTTTCAATTTCTCTGCATTCAGCTTGGCTGTGAGGAAGTCCGGAAGTTTACGACCCAGCTGGTGGAAGCTATACAATAAACACTCCACATAACTGAATTGCAACTTGGGCTCTTCATTGCCGGCATTTTCCCCATTCTCTGCTTCCTCCGGAGGAAGAGGCATATACTCCTAATGAACAGAAAGGAAAGACAAATGCATGAGACACGTTTACACAGACTGACCGTTCTTTTGCAGTGTTTGAACTGGAGGGTTTATTTATGCTAAGAATTTAAGGAGTATACCCCATCGCTATACTAACATGATGAACCACTGCATGAAGTCCTGGTGCAGATGGTTTGCCTCCACTTATGTGACTTGACACCTCTGGCTCAGAGGAAGCATTATGGTAGCACTGCTACCACAGGAAGCAACAACGTGCTGCACCAATCTTTCTGAAACAGCTCTGAATAAGCTTACAATTGTCTGGGCAGATATTGCCTTTAATAAGATCAACACTAATCACTCATGACTATAAAATTTAAAAAGAACAAAGCCACATGAGTTTACTGGATTAAAAACATTATGCAGGTAACAGCTCTTTATATCTACGAAGGCTATGAATCGCAAAATGATGTTTGACCTTGTGTCATGCACAGAGCTATCTTTGAAATAGCCACTTCAGAAAAAGGATAAATATATTAATAGATAAAAATAACTTGTTTTGATGAAACCTTTTTTTTTTAAAGCATTTTACATGAGTAAAAATTGAATTAGTCTTACCAGTAATTTATCAAACAGCTTCTTCAAATTTGATTCAAGCTTTTCCATATCGCCACAAAATGAACTCATTTCAGCAAGAAGCTTCAAAACCTACACATAAGGATAGCTGGGTTTTTGTGTGTTAACTGAAAAGTACAAAGGCTTAACTTTCAACCTAAAAGCAATTATCACATCATTATGGCTGGCACAGTAGAGGTCAGCTATTACAATTAAACCTCTCCCAAACATCAGCAAAGAATACAAGGAGGAACATGCCTAGTCTGTTTTTCATGTCATTCACACAGGTTTGTGTGTCTAATCCCAACAAGCATCATTAGTCAACAAGTAAACAAAACTTCATCTCCCACATCTGCAGAACAGCTTGCCTTCAAAGGGAGATTCACAGAGATCTAACTGAAGCTGCAGCACTGATTAACGTAAGCAAAATTACAGATATTAAGCCACTCCCTTAGGAGGCTAGATTAGCACAAGCCATGCAACAGTCATTTCAGTAAATGCTATGTGCTTAAAAAAAATTGACAGTAACACAAAAATGATTACACCTATCTACTTATTCTAGCCTTGTCTCAAAAGCTAGGGACAAATGACACGTGCTTTAAAAGGCAATGCTCAGTCATGCCTCAATACAGCAAACTTTTTTTTTTGTAGCATAGCTAGTTCTCCTTCAAGCCAAGAACTGAACACCACTTAAAAGTAGTTTGCAAATAGCTGTCTTCATCGAAGATGCTTACTTTTTACAATTTGAAAGACATTTTAGCTTTGCTTACCTCTAACTGGATATCAAGACCCTCTACTGGAGTAGTCAAAGAACTGAGGTTTGGCAGAACATGCTCACAGAAGTAAGTAACAAATTTTGTGGAATGAACGTTTTTCTGCAAAAAACACCGCACATTATTCAAGCTACTTTTTAACTTTGAAGGAGTTAAATGTTTTTCCCCCCATCACTCCACCCTTATAAATGTCTACCACACAGCTATACCTTAAAGCTTTATTAAACTTCCCTCTAACTCCTAAAACGCAGAGACCTTTCCAGGTAGCTTGAACTCAGACACTGTCTGCAACAGGGGCTGAAAAGACTGCCTACAGCCCAAGAATAGGCCTTTTTAAGTGCTGCAATTGCCTGGCACTAGACTTGAAATAAATGCATACATGTATGAACCTAATATAAGAATCTTGTCATAACTCACCGTAACATCTTAAATTTGAAAGAAAATGTCAAAAAGCAGAGAATAACACAAAAGCTCTTTGTATTCGGATGCTTTAAGGATGTTTTCCAACATTTTCATACATTAGAAGCGGAAGGTGGACAAGTACTGATATGCTGTCATTCTAACATAATCATTGAGAAGAGAAGCTATGCCCATTAACTTTCCACAATACTCCTCATGCAAAGCAAATAAATACATACTGAGAAGAGCGGCACTGCCTGCCGAGTACACTGTAGAAGTCTGTCCACACAATCTGGATCAGATGGATTGAACGTTTGTTCCAGGTCAGCTTGTTCGGCTACCAGCTCCACTAGCTGCTGCCTCCCACTTACTGTCTGTAAGCTTTTTAATCCAGACAATATTTTCATGAACAGAACAAATTCCTCGCCTGTCACATCTTCCAGCACCTTAATAGAACACCAGAAAACATATTTCTATGGTGGCAATTTGCAAACCTCCAGGTCAAACCTACTTGATTTGAAAAGGTAAACTATGCAAGTATTTAGCATTTAAATTTAAATTCTAGTTATTTAAAAACACAAGTTTAAAGGAACACATGAAAAACATGCAGTATAATTGTATGCACCTCTAAATTAAAGTAACTGCCATCAAGTTGTGCACAGGAAACATTGTTTTTCTTGAACTCTAACCTTAAGAACAAATTTCTTATCCAACAAAATAGTATGCTTCAGGCAGAATAAACGTTAAATGAGTATCTACTCATTATTGTTTTAATACTTTTTATGTCCTTCTCAGCTTGGGGAATGCACAGGAATCTCATGAAATTCAACAAATACAAATGCTAAGTCCTGCACCTGGGATGAATGAACCTCCCTGCATCAGCACATGTTGGTGACTGATGGGCTGGGGAACTGCTCTGCTGAAAAGACCCTCAGGGTTCTGGGGGACAGCAGGCTAAAGAAAGTGTCAGCAGCATTCCTTGGGTGATGAACAGCGTCCTGGGCTCTGACAAGAGCATAGCCAGTAGACTGAGGGAAGCAAAGGGATTAAGGATTCTCCTTTGCTATGCCCTCACTAGATCAAATCTGGAATACTGCACCTAGTGTCTGGCTGTCCTTTAAGAGGAAGTTGTTGATAAACTTTAGAAAGCTCAGCCAACAGGGTGATAAGTGTCTAGAGCACATGACCTGTGAGGATAACCTAAGGAAACCGAGCTTTTTCAGCCTAAAGGAAAAAAGTCTTAAGGGGGCGAGGTGACCTAACTTCCTATACTTAATACCTGACCTAATCTTCCAATACTTCAGAGCAAGTCACCAAGAGTAGGAGCCAGGTTCTTTACTGAGGTGGACAGGGTGAGAATGAGGCAATGACACAAAACTGAAATGGGAGGTTCCAACTGGATAAAGCAAAAAAAAAAAAATTCACGTTGAGGGCAATTAAACATTGGAGCTGGTTGCCCAGACAGTATGGGAAATTTCCATCTGTAGCCATTTTCAAAACCCAAATGGACAAAGCAGAGAAATCTGACCTGAATTCAGCTGAGCATGGTTCACTGAGGTGATCGATCTTCCAAAGTCCCTTTCCAACGTGAATGATTCTACGATTCTAATAAAAGGCTCTTACAACATGAGAAGAGCCTAACATTATTTTAACATTCCCACAAAAAAATTTTGCAAAGTTTGGATTGTAGCAGAATAGGACAACTAGAAGACCACATCTGTACAATGCTTAACTCTACATGTGGTGTAAACAAACATACCTCCAGAGGAACTCCAGTGATAAGGGATGGCTTAATAATACTTAAGTTCATCCTGAAATAAGACTCTCACCTTCTTTGATTCAGTCAATATGAACTCTTCTACCTCCTTTGTCATCACCTCCTCAGGCAGAGTTTTCAGTTTTGTAGAAAGGAACTTGATGGCTCGCTCTCTCACAATATCCTCTCCCTGAAGAATCTGACTGAATAAGCCTCCCAAAGTCCCTGAATGGAGAATACATCAGGTAACGCAAATTATTTTACAGACCTGAACCTTCTATACAGAAGAAAGAAGTTTCCTCCTGTAAGACTCCACGACACATTTTAAAATAACTGCTGTACTAACTGTGAAGAAAACCCACAATTTTCACATAGTTTGACACAAGAATCCACATCATTTTATTGGTCTGTATAATTCAGATCCACAATTATTGAGAAGTTTAGTATCGTTTGTAAAACCAAACAATGAGTGTGTGTGTGTCTAACTTTTGCCTTGTACTAAGAAGATAGAAAATTGAACCTTGTTCTCATTCTACTAGAGACTGGGAAGTTTATTAATAAAGACATTTATAGAAAAAAAAAAAGTGTCCTTTACCTTTAGCATCCATCTTAAATATACTGAGCAAAGCATTGTTCACCAAATTGAATTCTGCAGAATCATCTGAAGAGAGAAAAAACACTACTATGCGTATTCTTGAAATGCAAACATAAGACCAGAAATACAAAAAGATTTTTGATATCACACAAGAAGGATTCTATCCTCAGCATTTAATTATAAACAACATAACTTGTATTTTTAACGACTACTAGACTGAGGAAGAAGAAAGCCACGATTATGAAAGCTGAAAGCAAACCAAAAAGCTATTTGCCACTTCAGCCTTCCTGATGAAACTTTAATATTACAAACTTGATAGCACTGAAAACCTGAAGGGAAGTTATTAATCAATATATTTAGTCATATTAAGGAACAGCTGAATAAACGAGATGACCTCACTAAATTCAGGTAAAATGAATAGTTACTTCTTTTTAAATGCTTAAGTAATCTACAGTATTTCTAGGTGGGAGAAACAGTTTTCCTCTGGAACTAAATGGAGAAATGTCTAAGTCTCAAAAAAAAAAGTCTCTTCTGAGAAGCCTAGAGACTTAACCATGCATTTTTAATACAAATTTGAGTATACAATATTTAGCACTCTATAACTTACTGAAATTAAAAAAATACATATTGTATATTAAATTCTGATTTAAATATTTTGTATCAAAAATGCACTGTATGGAAGAAAATGCCTTCAGGATTTTTAAAGTTCCCAAGTACCTGGATTAGAGATCCAGTAACTCTTTTTCAGAAGGCAATTTGCTGCAGTCCATATCTGGAAGGGCTTTTGTTTTTGTCCCATCCTGTGTGTCGTGTTCCCCCCCCCCCCTTTTTTCTACAGATGAAAAAAAAATTGTTATATTTAAAAGAAAGATTTTCAGTTTAGCTTAAGATAATTAGCGACCTTTCAGCAGAAGTAGCAGCATAACTGTACAGCAAATATAAAGGGGGGGAAAAAAAAGAGCAGAAGCAGGATATGAATGGCACTGGGACAGACCACTATGTAACAAAATATGAACCAACAAAAAATGTTTTACGGAACAAAATTATATCCATTTTTATGTGTGCCACAAGGAGATCAGCCAGGAAACTACCAATGACTCCTACCTGACTGTAGAAGCTGGGTCAGTATGTCTGCTACCCGAGGAAGATTATCTCCAGTGGCAAACTGAGGCAATTCCTTGATTGCTTGTCGCCGGATCTGTCAAAATTGTCAGTATTGTGGAAATAAAAAAATTTTAAAATTAAAGTAATTACAAAAAACAAGATCGGGCAATTCAACTACCAAAGTTTGGCAGAAAAACCATCCCAATTTGAGAAAATGAACACATATTCTTTTAACATGAGTATCATATTCAGAAAGCGATGTTCAAGTTTCAGACTTTAGAGGCAGTCCAAACTTCTTACTTGCTATGAAACTATTATGACTTACCTATGAAGAAGATAATATATTTTTCTTAGATCTAAGCAGCACTGGAGGAAACCCAAATTCAAACACCACCCCTGTTCACAAAATCATTCATTTGATCAACAAAATAAAGAGCTGGAATCTGTGTTATTACGAAGTCTTATTTGCTAACAGGAAGGATAGTTTTACAGCTGTGCATACGGCAGAGATAAACTCTAGGTTTTGCTCCCAGCACTGACAAAAATCCTTGAATGATCTGCCTAAATCATTTAGGATCTGATAACCAAAGGTGTGTCAAAGGTACAGGTTCTATCAACATCACAGAAGCAGCATAAAGCATCTCAAGACTTCTGCAAGAATAATATATTCAGAATTGCATTCCCATGGTTCTCAGGTGCGAATAGATTTTCTTGCCTCCCAGCAGGATGTATTAGAACCAATTACCACAAAGTGCTTTTTGAAAGGAAAAAAATGTAATAGATATTCAAATAAACTGCATCTAAGTTTCCTTCTACAGAGCTATTTCTTTGATGGGAGTGAAAAAGACAAATGAAAACTGATGTATCTCCCCATACCATCACAAAATAGATTCTTCTATTGCAGGAATACAACTAAGTATTCTTAAATTTTCTGAAGACCAACACTGCCCTCCCAAAAGACATAGCCTATAAAAAACAAAGAGAAAGGAATAACAAAATACAAACTCAACGTATCAACTTGCTACAAGGTTCTTATTCTTACAGAAACATCTTCATCCTCACAGAGGTCCAACTGGGCATTGATAGCTGAGTCAGCTAGCTCAGGAAAATGCTTGAAGAACTTCGGAATAAATTGGGCTGCAAGTCTCTTCTCCTTGGCACCTCCTTTCACACCATCCAAGATTGCTTGGTACGCATCCTTATGCTGAAAGAGCAAAACCAGACTACATAAGTAGAAAAATCTTGGGGTCTTCTTAAGACAAGGAAAGGATTTTTTCTCTCCCATTCACTTCAGCTATTTAAGTGAACTATATTATACAAGCTTCATACAAAGAAATAAATTTCTCTTAGACCAATGTAACTGTGCCAATGTAGTAAAATTTGCCTCTATCGACTGTTTTTTACTGTTACTCTGATTCCTCTGTCTGTTCCAAGTGTTTACAGTTCAAACTGCCAGCCCTAAGGCTAACAGCTCTTGCACACCAGTTGCAATTAGATTAGTGCAGACTCAAGGAATTCAGTGAAGGTGATCATGTAACTCAGGTAGTTTTTTCAAGCAGCTTCTGCCTTCTGCCTGCTTGTTTATTGTCTCTCAAGCAGAGGTTACCTCTCCAACAACTGTGCCACTGGAATGGATCACGAATGATTTTTAATGTATATCACGCTAAAGCATCTCTGGCACCTATTCAAGCAGTTAACTTAATCTGAGACAAAATACAGTTCTTAAAAGATCTGTTAACAGAGACTAGGTTAAAAAAAAAAAAAAGACATTTCCAGTTGAAATATAGAAATAAACACTTCAGCAACAAAGTAGAATATTCTCCAGCTGCTCCAACTAGAATCACACAGGCGCTTCTGATTTTGTGCCTGCAGGACTGAAACTTTGGAATAAATGGAAGTCTTTGTTGTGGTTAGCTATGTGTTTGTGAAATAAAAGTCAGCATTATTAGGATGCTAGCAGAAATCAGAACCTTCTATCATTAATTTTCCTCATGGTTGTGAGGAGAATGTTTTAGACAACTTATCCTACTTTGAACAGCAACATCAATTTTTTGCTCTATTAAATTTCCCAGAGCCACATGTATCAGCACCTCTACTCCACATAAAAGCTCACCCATAGCAAATAAAGATATTAATTTACAAAGCAGTACACTGCATTAATTCCTTCTCAAGTAAGCTGTATTTTAACATTCAGTACCAATGCTCCTTAAACACTCCCTATACCTCATTGATAGTTCTCTGTGTTGCCAGATTCTGAACCAGATTGAGACAATGATCTGGAATAAAAATAACCAAGGAAAAAAAATGGTTACTTTTCAGCCAATCCACATCCCCATCCAGTTTGCTCTATAGCTGTTCCAACACAGTGCGCTCAACAGCAAAGGCAGGAATGAGCCAGCACAAACTAACAATGAAACACACATTATTATAGTCACAGGTTCTCAGACTGCACATTAAGAACAACTTTTTGTGGAACAAATTACTTAAACTTAATACATATTTAAAAGGCATTCACACAGCAATGAAATTGAGTAGCTTGTGTTCCATGAATTTGTATTACTGCATGCCAACTACCCCTGTCATTTAGGCAAAATACAGCTCAGGCAGGAGTTTGTTTTACCCTGTACCTGGCAGCACTGAATGCTCAAGAAAAAAAGCAGGCAACTGCAGAAGCAGCATCATCCTTCAGTTTTGCACATTTCCTCCCAATCCGTAACACAGGAATGTCCTAAGCCAGAGTGTCCAGACCTTTATTTTTAATAACTGTCAATTGACCAATCATCCATTAATTTCTCTAGGTTAGCTCTCGAACCAATTAATATTCTATGATGTCCTGTGACACATTTCAGAATGCATTATGGAGAAAAGTTCATCTTCCTCTTTATTTAAAGCCTGTTTCCTAATAGTTTTTGTCAAGTTCTCACCTTCATTCCACTCAAGAGCTAGACTCATCATACCTGAGCCCCTTTCTCAACTGAAACACTCTTTTACAAGCTCAATACTTCTGGTCTTTTAAATTACTCCTCTTAATGTCATACTTCTGGTTGTCTCCTTGCACTTCTCCACATGTTCAAGGTTTCTTTTTTTGAGACAGGGTGACTATGACTTTTTGTAGTGAGAGATCACATTCATACAGTTGTTAAGAGGTAATAAAGTAGTAAGTGGGATAAAACCGATGAATAAGGAACAATTACTCATGGCTTCTCAGAATGCAAAAATTGGAGACATCAAATAAGATTACGAAATGACAAGTTCAAAGGAGATAGCTCCTTCACAAAGGTTAATGAAGTAATGGAACGTTTTGCCACAGAACATTTGTATGCCAGAAATATAACCTAATCAGTTAAAAAAAGCATCAGAAAAGTTCACTGAAGAACGATCTAGCAAGATATACTAATTACAAAGACACTATCTCTGGCTCTGGAAGTCCACAAGTTGGAGAGGTGCAAAGCTGGGGCACTATATCAGGGATCATCATTCTATACTTACCCTCAGAGGTTCTTACACATCTGCTACTGATCCCTGTCACAGGCTGCTTTTCTTAACTACGCTGGAGTTTGCTCTACCTAAAATTGCCATTCTAATCTTACAAAAGCTACCCACAATAGTCAAACTGATGATGGACTACGTATTTGTAAAATGGCACAGCAACAGCATCTGTTTTATTCTGTGTCTCTCCCCATAGTTCCCAACATTTTAGTTGCATTTTTTGGTTGGCTCCAAGATGATGTTTGTGTTGGACTGCCTGCAAGTATGCTTTGTTTCACTAGGGCATAATTACACAAGCAAAGTGAATGGACTTGAATTAACCCCCCCCCCGCAAAACCAACAACTTCAAAAAAAAAAAAACCAAACACCAAAAGACCACCATATTATTTGTCCTCTTAAGGAACTTTATGACCTTGCATAGTAGTATCTAGTTTAAAATCCACTGCTAGGTATATGCAAAGCTACTTTCCTACTTATGTACAGTATGACCCAAAAAAAAAAAAAAAAAAGTCTTTGCTGCTTTTTCAGGTAGTCATTGAGTAAAATGAGAGCCTGATACAATTCAAAAACTAGTTTTAACTAACCATAATACTTTATATTGGTAATATACCAAGTCATCCTCTTTGAATAATTCAGTTACAGTATAAGCGAACGGCAGATCTTGGCAGGAGTTTAGAGGTAAAAGTCTCCCTTTAGCCATGAGGATCGACCTTCCATTCTTTCCTTAAGGAAAAGAAAGCCAAAGGGCTACAGGCAGTTACCAAACCATAACAGTCTTCACCTTACTCCAACAAACCTTTTAGCAAGAGAGCCTGCCAGAAGCTCTCCGGAACTGCAACTTGTGCTGGATCAGACCTGGGTGACTACCGGTGTCTTCTTTAAGGCCTGAATTCACCAGGCGAAACTCCCCACCCCCATGCAAAAAGCAGCCTGACTCTAGCTAATAACTAAATATCCGCGACGCCACATTTAGAAGGAGAGCTGCGGACAGGACGGGAGGAGGATGCAAAAGCGACGAGAGCTGCTGCCGTCCTTGCAGAACCTCAGGCGCGAATCTTATCTCTGCGCCCCCCCCCCCCGGCGCCGTGAGGAAACCTATACCGAAAACAGCCCCGAGGGCTAGCCGGTTGTCCGGCGGGGCGAGCAGGCCCCTGCGGCAGCATCCCATCCCCTCCCGCTCCCCCACCGCCCGCCCAGCCCTAAACTCCCCACTGGGGCGGCGCCGCCACCGCTACTCAAGCCCGAGGCCTAACGAGGCCTTACAGGCCGCAGCCACGCCGCACACCTGGCCCGCCGTCTCCGTGGCGTCCGCCAGGATCCCGTAGTTACGGTAAAGCTCCTCCACAGTCGGCATGGTGCGGCGGGGGAAGAGCGGAAAGCCACTCGT